GGCCCAGCGGGTCAGCGCAGCCCAGCCGACTCTAGGGTTGACCTAGCCAACCTAGTTTACTATATATATTAATGTATTTCCCTTGAGAAAGGAGATCCGCAATTCTTTACACCAAAACACTTGTATTCTTAAGTTTTGACGGAAACAGCAATAAAAATCATCTTCAATCCTCTATGCTCGTGATTTCATACTTGCAAGATTCAATCCTCTTAAAACTCTTGACAAATTTCGCTGTGCGGGTTCTACCATCCATAGTTTGGCGCCGTCTAAGGGGACACTACAAATCTTCTTACTCAAAAGAATCACCTCACAAACAACCTAGAAGATGACCACCGAACGCATCGACAACACTGATGGCAACCGCGTCGATGACCCCGCTGGCAACCGCGTTGACGACACTGTTGACAACCCTGGCGATAAAGAGATCGAAACCAACCTTACTGGAAATCTACACAGAACGTCAACCGAGTTGCAACGGATGCGACGTCTGCACTGGAAGTGTTGAATCAGATCAAGGCGGTGATGGATGCGATGCTCAAAAGATAGGACAGGCAAGACAAGGTTAACTCCGCAGTAACCGAAAGACTCGACATCCTCACCACGGCAAGCGGCGGCCGAGGCCAGGGCTTGTTTAGGCAACCAGGAGGTCGACTCGCTCCGACCGCTCTCTTATCAACGCCAGATGGCGCACCTAGAACTCGAACTCTCTTGCCGTTCTACACCACCTCGGAGACAGGTGAGGGAAGCCAAGCAAGGCGAACCAACCGACCTCTGGAGCAAGGCACCGGTTGTCAGCCTCGATGAAGACAGATAACCGAGGTCAACCTGGAAAGACGTGCAAACACCGAACGCATCGAGGTACACCGAGTCAGGATAACCCGAGGAGCCGAGGAGACCGAACACGACAACAGTAGTGATGAAGATCTCCTCTGGATTTGGCAGCTCGACGACCGACGTGACGAAGCACTGCGCATCCAGAAGGCCGAGATAGCCGAGATGCGCACTAGGATGGAACGAGCAGCCGAG